GTGCATATCGTCTACTTCCTGTATGTAACTGAATATCGAATTTATATGGGCTTTCGAACAAATAAGAGCATTCGAAGTGGTTTTCACCTAGAATCGATATCAACTAGAATTCCATTGAAAACAAGAAAGCATTAAATAGCTATTTTGTTCTATAGTATGCCACCGTGACTCCTAGCACCAATCCACAGTTCCTCTGGTGAGCAAATTAATATCTAGCCAATGAGCTGAATTCCAATAGCCCATTTTTTCCGACTTTTTTCATTTTTTTCTTTGAGGGAGTTGTGGAGATTTGGAAATATTTCAAGTTGTTATTCATCATAGACTGATATCAGTTGGAGAGGAACAAAGGAAACCTGGGAGCACTGGACAGCTGTGTATGGGATTCCTCAGAAGTGCACACCCACGACCCCGCCAGGGATCGAAACTGCGACCTTCAGGTTCCACGGCCAGTGCATTTCCATTGAGCCACCGCAGCAGAATCCAATAGTCCATATTTCCAACTTCTGTTAGCTCACGATATAGCACAATTATTATCCAATGTCATTAATGATTATCTATCTGTTCTCATAACAGACAATGAAAACATATGGTTCAACAAAGAGATTTTTTTCGGCGATTTCATTCATTAAACTGTACCATTCCATTTCTAGATGAAAATATACAGTTTATTTAATGTATGAAAGCGGTTAGTTAAGCTTGGCAACAAGTAAAATAATACTTATCAAAATTGAAATATCATTTTCATCCTTAAAAAATCAAAATCTTTATGATTATTGATGATTGATCAAAGCAAAATTAAATTGTTATAAACCCCAAACGTACAGCTGGTTAGATTAGGAATTATTGCTCATGGTATCATAGGAATTTAATCGATATGATTGTATATGATTGACAAATTGACTGACATGACAAAATATATCATGTATGAATCGTTATCCAATCAAATATAGAAATAAGGAATATATGATAGTATGTAAGAAATGAATTCACAATCGGAAGCTCAGTTATGCTGTTGAAGTGAAGATAGGAGTAAAACAAGGCTGTCGTCTATTATCACCCATGATATTCCTGATTTTAGTGGACTGGATCATGCAACAAACAATGAGGAGCGAGAAAAGAGGGATATGCTGGACCGCGGAAAAGATCCTAGAAGACTTGGATTTCGCCAATGATGACTTGTGTCTAAATTGAAGATCTACAGGCGAAAACAAATAAGTTGACAGAAGAGGCAGCGAAGATGGGACTTCCTTCAGGTGAATATAGAGAAGACAGAGGTGATGAAGATAACCAACTAACACCACCACCAACAACAACAATAAACTCCAATCACAACCAAAGGGAGAAACTTAAAGGAAGTAGCCTCCTCCATCTATCTAGGCAGCATCATTTCAACTACAGGCGGCACAGACGACAATGTCAAAGTCAGAATCGGAAAGACAGCAAGACAGGCATTCATTAACCTGAAACAGTGTGGAGATCTTCTGCACTCAGCATGTGGAACAACATGCAGATTTTCAACACCAACGTCAAATCAGTGCTCCTGTATGGCTCACAGACTTGGCGCGTTACGAAACGCATTCCCAACAAACTACACACATTCATCAACAACTGCCACCTACGCTGGCTCGTTACTGAATCTCAGATGGATTGCCAGAATAATAAGAATAAGCAACAAGGAACTATGGCCGGGCAACGAACCAACGAAGCAAGAACCTATCACTCAACAACTATGCACTAGAAGGAAGTGGAGATGCATTGGAATGGGCATACACTGAGAAGGCTGACTGGGGACATCAAGCGTCAGTCCATTGAGTGGAATCCCCATGGGAAACAACGAGTTGGGCGTCTATGGCGACGGTGACATGTATGAGATCGTGTGAGGAAGAAATGAGAGCTTATGGGCTGTGGTGGAGTCAGGTTGAAAAGATTTCAGAGAACAGAGTGCATTGGAGACGTGCAACTGAAGCCCTGTGTTCCATTAGTAACCCAAGGGACAAATAATAATATAATAATGTAAAAAAATGACGGAAATAAAGGAGTGAGAAGGAGGAGTGTTTTGAAACTCTAAAGTTTAAGACCATGAAGGAAGGAAAGTTTTAATTAGTTTTTCATGTATCCAAAGCTAAAGGTTTTTCTATTTGCTTTACTGAAGCTTAAGTAATACAAGGGAAATGGATATGAACTGGCTATGTCGAGTTTTTCTTACCTTGTCAATAACTTTGAAAGAGATGATTGTTAAGATTGAATGGTCAACGTCGACAAGATGTTCCATCAACGCATTTCTCATAGATTTACTTCTATCTCTTTGTAGCCAGGCGAGATGGTGTTTTCAAACTCATTTGGATGGGACCGACATCGAATGCCCAATATTCCCAGCTCCTCTAGAAGCAGATCAACTGATATACACATAAAGGAGTTGTTAGATTCGAAATCTTGTCTTTCAGGTTATTCCCCAGTGAAGGGGGACTGCAGATCGTTAAAAAACACCAATGTTAGTGTTTATGAGATAGTCAATTCCTCACAAATACTACGCAATTGAGTACAGATGGATTTCCTGACCACTATGTCAATATTCTGAACTTTTATCCTCTAAGGACAATAAAATAGACAGCGACTTCATAATGTTATGTATGAAACACATTGAATGAAATTACATACACAACTGTAATGTGCTCATCCTAATGTCGGATACTATCCATACTCATTTAGGATGAGATCTACTAGTGGTTAAAAAATAGGTGCCAAAGTGATTACTGCCAACCAAAGAAAAGGTTAATTTGGTTAAAAAAAAAGAAAACAATACTTGAACAGAACTCGTTGTGATTCATTTCATGTCAATAAGAAATCAATAAAGCAGTTTTTTTCCATTCTATGAAACATTAATTTTTGTAAATGTATTTTGCAACGATATATGTGTACTGTAGTGATGTCTGAAAACTGAACTACTTTACCAAATTGGATAGCTTAGCTCATAACGTAAAATGACTGGTCCCCTATGATCAAATGGTGACTTAAATAAATAAAAACCAATGGATTAAAACTGTTGACTACTTCACTGCTTTTTCATGGATTATTATTATTATTATTATTATTATTATTATTATTATTATTTGTCCCTTGGGTTACTAATGGAACATAGGGCTTCAGTTGCACGTCTCCAATGCACTCTGTTCTCTGAAATCTTTTCAACCTGACTCCACCACAGCCCAGAAGCTCTCATTTCTTCCTCACACGATCTCACCAATGTCACCCTCGCCACAGACGCCCAACTCGTCACTTCCCATCAGGGTTCCACTCGAATAACTGGCCTGACGAGTGATGTCCTCAGTCAGCCTTCTCAGTGTATGCCCATTCCAATGCATCTCCACTTCCTTCTAGTGCATAGTTGTTGAGTGATAGGTTCTTGCTTCGTTGGTTCGTTGCCCGGCCATAGTTCCTTGTTGCTTATTCTTATTATTCTGGCAATCCATCTGAGATTCAGTAACGAGCCAGCGTAGGTGGCAGTTGTTGATGAATGTGTGTAGTTTGTTGGGAATGCGTTTCGTAACGCGCCAAGTCTGTGAGCCATATAGGAGCACTGATTCGACTTTTTCATAAATCGTTGAACAATATCATGATTTCAGAATCGTTAACCTATGTACAAGATATTGGATGATTACTGAAGGCGAAATAGAAGTCTGCACTGTAGTATGAATCGAACCAGTAGCCTCCAGGTTACCGGCCCGGTACTGTACGATCTGAGCTATGAGAACCAACTACTGACACTTGGTGATTCAACTGATATTAAAATTTGGTTTTTAGTTGGTACTCGTAGCTCAGTTGGTAGTGCACTGGGTAGGTAATGCAGAGGTCGTTAGTTTGATTCGTGCAATGGCCCAGATTTTCACTTGAACTGTAATCATCACTCAGTATCAATACTAGTCTTTGAAATCACCGCTTTTTCCAGATAATCAACATTATATACTGAATATGAATAACTAAGATATTTACAATCTGATCCTTATGTAGCGAATGGTCAGTCAACGGTGACATGAAGATCATTAGGTAGAAAGAAAGTTTCCGCCAGTATTATGTATGGATGTAGTTTTATCTACCCTGACAGTAAAGAATTTCTTTTCATTGCTCTTATTATACCGTCGTTGATTGGACCAAGTAGATCAATTTCTATTAGCACATGAACTCCTGTGTGGATCCCTTGATATTACTTCTGTTTGAGTTATAGGTAATAATGGACAGTGGTTAGCAGTGAAATCCAGGATGCGCATTTCGTCCTATTTGCGACTCGTCATCCGAATTTACCTGCCTTCCAGTGATTGATGTTGTTCCCATAGGGACTCCAACTTCAATCAACGACGGTATAATATAAGCAATAATACTTAAACTATACCCGTTGCACAAGAAGGGATTATCGTGGCTCGATGGTCTAGTGGGTATCACTCTAGTGTTTAAAGCCATCAGTCCCGAGTTCAAATCCCAGTGGGAACAACACCACTCACTGGAGAGTCCTAAATAGCATGAAGTGAGCATCCTGGATTCCACTACTAGCCAATATCCATCATTACTATAAAAAATTTCTTATCATGCAACAAGTATGATTCTAAAAAGAAATTCATTAGTTTCACGTAAGTTGGTAGACTATGAATGAAATATGTTTCATGCTGATAGATAAACTTGAGTGAATCGAATGAACTCTATACTTATGAATATATGGATGATAATTAGACATCAAGGCTACTGAAGAAGAACTCCACTACTTTACAAAGAATTCATATTAGGATTATTATCAGTATATCAGTGTATCGAGAAAGCGGTTTCATTTGAGATAGGCTCATCAGCCGCATGATCACTAAAAGATTAGAAAAATAAATTTTGAATGATTTTTTTTAACCTTGTATAGCATAAATCCGTCTAAAACTAGTTACCACTCAGAAAAATAATAATCAATTCTTAGTATATTGATAATATTTAACACTATGTAACTGGCCTATGAGTATACTCACCTACTATGATATAAAATATACAGATTACACATTTCGTCATGATGTGTAAATCCCATCCTGACATCCTTTGTTCTTGATGTACTGTCGTATACACAACGTGCTAATAAAATATCATCTTCACCAATCTCCACTGAATCGAATTCAGAATCTAACTGTTTCAATGGATAAAATGCTTGTGGTATTTGAGGATTAACTCGACCGAGTAATTGTGCTGGTCTTTGTCCATATGGCAATCGATAGCCTACAACAGATCGACCTAATGCATGAGTATGTCCACGTATTGCCATTACTGTTATAGGTAAACTAGATGAAATACTAGAACGAAAAAAAAAAGAAAAACCACTTTTAATTCATTTTAAATATTGATTTAAAGCACGTATCAACATGTTAATAAAATGGTAATGATAATAGTACCCTGATATAAATGATATTTGTAATAATACTGAGTTCACTCATATATATTGCTCAAGTTGATCTGTTTTACTGTTATCAAATCAGACAGATGCACAAGAGTTTGAGATATTTTACAAAATTGTATCAATTGAAGTTATCACCTTCTGATACAATACAGAAATTGAAAACATTTCTCTTACAGTACACATTTTAAACATGCAGTAAAATTATACGAAGTAGAGTTTAATAAATTAAAACATTTCTGTAGAAACTCTTCTATTGAATACTCTACATACTTGGTTATGCATACCATAATGTGATATAGAATGAACTAATGAATTCAGAGAACTTTGAAAGTGTTAGCAAGACAAAAAGGTATGATTTATGAAGGTAAATTCTATGGGCTTCTACGATTAGACTAGTTTCTCATTTCATTGTCTAATGATATCTGTAAGTGACTCAACAATTGCTGATACCATGCTTGATTGGCTATAGAGCTTCTTAGAATCGTGACTTTAAAACGATTAGATCATCTAGGCAAGTGTTCAACTACACCAGTAGGCAGTCATCTTTCCGTTTGACCTGTTTTTTTTTTACTTCGACAAACATATTTGAAGTTATATACACAGTTGGAAGTGATGAGAATCAGAGTTTTGTCTTTTCTAGACTCTTGTATCACTCGTTTCATGGTATTGAGAAACGTTGGTTTTGCAGCATAGTAGGTTCATCTAATGGCTGTATTGAGCCATTGATTTTATCATACAAATCGTTATCTTTTATTGATGGATTGTTGTATACTGACATTTTCGGAGCAATAAAGATAATTTGTTCCCCACTGGATTTCTGGTGCACTTGTTGAATAACTTTTCAGGATATCCATTTTTTGATAAGATTTACTTTACAGTCTTTATTTCATACTCAATCTTGCTCTCACATCATATTTCCTTAGCTGTTACATAAAGAAGTTCTAACTACATTCCTTTTGTATTGCATCATGACAAAACTTTTATAGTTTAAATACTATCCCATCGACGATGACTTTCAGCATATGAATGCAGATCCATCAATCCTTTTCATTAGGGAAACATCTAAAAACTTGATTGTATCATTTTCTTCATTTTTTTAATGCAAAATTAAGATTTGGACTTTTTCAACATTGCTTTCTCCTGCACTTTCCTCTTGTATACAATAAAATATATCATCTGTATATCGTTGATATAATTCCACATGGTGTATCTACTGTATCGGACAACCAAACTCTAGACTTAGAAGAAGCAGATCTGTAAAAAAAGGAGCCCAAATGATTTTCTATTCCAACACCATCGATATGGCGAAATAAGTGGCGATAAAACTAAAACTGAAACAAAAGTAACAGTTTCCTCAATTCAACACAGAAAGGTACAATAGACAGAAATAGAATGAAATTAGCGGCGAACATAGAAATGTAGGAATGTAAAGAGAATGAATAATTGAAGATCAGTACGTAATTTTAGAAGTTTGAAGATAATATAGAGTGAAAAAGATTACATCAAGTGAAAAATGTCTGTGCCTTGTTGACCCAGTGGGTAACGCTTTGTTATTTGAAGCGGTGTGTGTGACTCGAGTTTCAGTGAGAACACCATCAATCACTAGGGGGAGGTATATCCACTCGACAACCCCTAGACAGGAGACAAAGTGCAACCTGGGCTTCCTTTCTAGCTACCACCAAATAACTTACAAAATGATGAATAACCAAGCGATATCAAGGCATCCGCATAGGGGATCATATTGCTAAAAAAGGTCAATGAACTCGATCTAGCATAGTAACAACGGCGAATTGCAAGTACCAGTAAATCATAATATTAAATGTATTTAGTTGCTTGCTTCTAATGATGAATAATACCCTTATGTACACTTGTTTGAATGATGAGAATAGATTGTAAATATCTGTTTATTCAAACAAATATGAAGCCTTAAAAAGTTACTCCACACTTCTATGTAACAATAAAAACTATTACTACTTTGAATGCACTCAACACATTAAACAGTGATTTTTCGTCAAAAAACTAATGTAACTGAACAGCGGACAAGATGAGATAATGTTGATTTCATTCAACTACAGAAATACACATTCAAACAAGTAAGCATTCGTTCAAATTACTACACCTTAGATGAAATAGAACAAAATAAATTAAAATTTAGTAAAAGTGATGGAATTATAAACGAAAATTAAAGGAATGACATCAGTGGATAGGAGATATTAGTAGGTAAATGTATGATTTGAGTAGATCTCAATTATAAATATTTTGAACCATTACATCACACGACAAGAAGGCAGCCAATAGGGAGCTGTTTTCTAGTCATGATCAGATCATGTTCAGGTCGTGATTTATGCATGCGCTGACATGAGAAGCTGATTGGAGAAGTCCGACCTCATACAAGAACTCGGATTGGTTCATTTATGGCTTCACTTTCTGAGAGTTTTGTAAATACATATGTGTCATGTATTTGCTTAATAATTGTTGTTGTCATTGTTCTTGCAGTCACAGGCCGTCTGTGTCTTCTGACTTCTCCGTGGCTTAGTGAAGCAGAAGATAATGAGGGAGGTCAGTCGTAAAGGTATTCGGTTGAGATATTTATTAAGTCTCAATATCGTTATACCCACCTGCGCAACCACCACTCAGTCACAACAGCAAGCCTAATTAATCAGTGAAAATAACACATGTCATACTCCGTATATCCATTTAGATATAGAATATACAATGATTGTAATCCTGGTAGATTTCAGTACTCGAATTAAAAATTAGCGAGATAGAAGAAAAGAATAAAAACTATAAGCTTCAGTTTGATTTAGGAATTGAAATGTTAAAAAAAGAAATATGAAAAAGTGATTAGGAAATTTGTTTTGTTTTTAGTTGATGACTTCAGTTATCTTTTTTGCTCTGCTGTTCGCTACAACAAGACAAAGAAAATGTTCTCATAGATCTTTCAATCGTATTCTATAAAGTATGTTAAACAAATTCCTTTTCACTATATGTATTCACTGTTAAACATAAGTTGTAAGATCAACCTGTCAATTTATTTGTATTCATCTTTAGTAAAATCGTTCTAGTAGGAAAAAGGAATAACTTCCAAAGACTACTAGCAAAAGCAAATTATACATCGTTATAGAGTTAATAACAAAGAAAGGAAAATAAAAGTTATTCCTCTCCTTAGTTATTCTTAAACATTTTAGCTTATAAATCAACAAATCCTTTCCTTAACAATCATATGCATAGTGAAATTGCATAGATAAAAATGCATTAACTCATCACTTGTGCTCAATAAAGGTGCTGGTTGCCAAGCTATCAGAGATCCCGCAACGCATATAGATATATTGCGTTTAATCTGCTTACTTGCATTGGTTACAATCTTTCCCTGACTTGCTTCATTTCAACATCACATACGTTTATCAGTCTACTCTTCTTTCACAGCTGGAAAGTGTAATTAATCTCCAGTTTCGAGGCAAAAGTTTCAGATGCAATAACTAAATATTAGATTCTATGATTTAGCTCCCAGTATCTACCTGTTCTAACTGACGTCATCATTCGGCATTTATAAACATAGATGCAAAATGTATCTCCAAGGTGTTTAAACAAAGTCCAGATGGCCACTATTTAGAAGCCTCGATACTGCTGAATATTCATCATGTTGTATCCGTCTTGATGACTAACCGTGGGATCCAGGATGACCGTCTCTTTCTAGCTGGGACTCTTCAGCTGAATGTACCTGCACTCCATTGTGTGATGCTGTTCTTACGGAGACTCAAACCTTAGTACCAATTGCTTCAAATGCAATAGCGTTATTCACTGTAAATCCACTAGAAATTACAAGTATCAAGCAGTAACTGATATCCATTGCAAAAGCGGTGGCTTTCACCCCCAGTAGCCTAGTGGATAATGCTTTGGCGTTTGAAGCGATGGTTACTGGGCTCAGGTCACAATGAGAACAAAATCACTCACTATGACGTACGCACATCCGGCCGAAGAGTAACAAATAGAACAAAAGTGCTTTATGGCTTCCTTTGCTAATCAGCAAGATGAATATAATTGCTTTGACAAAAGTAAGTGTGACTGTAAGTCGTCAAACTTAATTAAAACAAGGTGATAGCTTTTTATGATCACCGGAATTGAGTCATTTACAAGCAAAATCCGATATTTTAGCATTGCAGATTAGCATCTCAACGAAATCAATATGCTGGCAGATAAAAAGACCATCAGCTAGGAATGCTTTATGAAGAGGTACAAAAAATGTTAGTTTTCATTAATGGTTTATCGTTTGAAGTAGCTCGTTAGTACATAAACTTATATTACTGATCATGAAAACTGTACTCAATTACCATTCAGAACAGTTATTCAGAGGCTTCTAACAATTGTGAAAGATATTTTTTAGCATTTGATGTACCACATCCCCTGCAACAGTACCAAGTAATGGGGCAAACTAACGAACTAAAGGTATTTTGAGAGAAAAGTCCACTTAGTAAATGTTGTTATATTCTTCTGTGAAATAATCCCATACCGGTTGCTTCGCAATTAATACCCAGTAGTGATAGTAACGAAAGAGATCAGTTACCTAATCATATCATCATGTCTTCGAGCTAAAAGATACCACGATTTTCATCTAAGAGTACCCACTGACGTAATCAAAATAATCGCCCTCAGTTAATTCACTGAGGTCATTTGTCCAGTGTCACAGTACAGTTAGAAATTGCAAAATGTCCCGTTCCAAGACATTCGTAAAAACTGTGGTCTGGACATTTACAAATGTCTCATTCTACCTACTAAAAATCTGCAGGTAAACCAGTTGACAAAGTTAACACTAATGAAGTGAGAAAGTGATTTATTTTGTGTTCAAAATCCCGTTTGAATAGTAAGTGAAACTGCGAAAACTCTGGCTTTTTTGAC